TGATAGTATTTTTACACATAGTTTGGTTACATAATATATAGTACTACATAGCTACAACATACTACATATCACACATCTCAAGATACAAATTAGTCTTCCCTCAGTACCTTCTTTCTATGATAATAATCTTTCAGTAAACATTAGTTATTTCATCCCAGATACCAATTAGTCAGACTACATATACTATTTCATTCCATACTTCTGCTTGCTTCATCCCAGATATTGGTTATCTCATCTCATCTCATCATTCATCCTCTTCTTTTCATACAACATTTATTTCATACATCAATTATCTCATACTACAATTATTTCATAGTAAATTTATTTCATACTACATTTATTTTATTCTACATTTATTTCATACTACAAGTATTTCATCCTTACATTTCATTTCAAACTCAATACACATGGCTTATATCACCTACATTCTCATCATACATCTCATTTCAACTCATTACTCATTGCTTATATCATCTACATATATATTTCACCACACAGATTTCTCATCTCACCTCAGAATATTTATTTCAGTCTTTGATTATCTCATTTCTTTTGCACTACATATTATTTTTATCACAAACAGAAGTTACTTCATATTTTCTCCTTTTCAACATGTTTATTTCACACTACGCACTTGTCAGCCACATTTATTTCATAACCAATTGTCTTTCAGATACAACTTATTTCATACCATCTTCTTACATCAGCTGATATCTTACCACTAGTATCTGATCAGAACCACCCACATGTATATAGAGAAGACTCTTTCCCACTTACTTTGTTCCCCATGCTTGCATTAGAGAAGTAAACAGATAATTACTTAGCAGACATCAGTTACTAGTAGTTACCAGAAGTAATTATTATTGATTTTCCCCCAGAAAATAAGAGATTGAACCCAGAAACCGTTATCCCCCAGAGCCTCATCCTTACCATAATTCCCCACATCCTCACACTCTCAACAGGTGCTTTGTACAAGACATCAGTAATAAACCTCATACTAAGATTACTCACAGAAATAGCCACACCTTTTCTTTAATTCTTAGTGTAACTCTCTCCCAAGCCTTGACAAGAGGGCAGCTTCATCAGCATCCAAGTCTTCAACTCACATTTTCCCCTGTGTAGTTGTTCTTTTCCCCTCTAAGCTCTTTTCTTTAGCTTGAAAAGTTCCACAAGTGGTGTCCCAACAGTGGCCTTATTCTCCTTCAAACCTTTAGTCTTAGACCCCTTATTACTTCAGTCTTACTGTTTCATCTGTTTCACAAAACCCCTACCTATAATATTAACCAGAGAATTTTCTTATTATACTTTTACTTCAGTTACAACAGATTATTATTTATATCCCTCTGAGAAAGTTTTAAATTCTTACCCTGATATTTTCCACATCAATCTTACCTCAAACAATTTTTAGTACAGATATCAGCATTTTTTTAGAAACTCTATTAGTTATTTTTCCTTAAGCATACACAGTAGAAATGTCTTACAGAAATCAGCCAGTTCCTTTAAACCTCTATCCTTCAAACCATGGACAACACAGAAGCCAGTCAGTTCAATCTTCCAGTAGTTCAGCCCTCCATCCCTCAGATCATCAACAAATTCGACATACCCCAGCATCCCATCAGTCAGAAGATTCTCCTTTACCCCATTTCTTGGAAAGGGAAACCAGATTGCCCAAATACACTGGACCGGAGACTGGAGCAACAATGGTTAAAATTAAACCCATGGATAAGGATGTGTTCTTTGACGGGACGAATGTTGCGATTGAAAAATTTATCAAGCGATACGAATGCGCAGGCGAGGCGGATGGTGCTAGCGCGAGGGACTTGGCAAAACAGATTTTTTTTTTTATCAAGGATGCCGATTTAAAGGACGAGATAGAAGAAATGACTTGTTATGAAGATGTTGACTGGGAAGGTTTGAAGAAACAACTGCTTGATCGATTTGGAAAGACCCTTCCGCTGGTCAAATACACGAAGCAAGATCTCAACAGTCTAGTCAGTTCCGCCGTCAGTAAAGGAGGAATCAAGACACTCAGTGAATTCAAAATATTTAAGACTAGATTCGAGGCTGCAACTCACTATCTTGTTAGGATGGGTTATAATACTAGCATTGAAGAATTCCGCGAACTCTTGCTTGAAGCTCTCAGTCGCCAATTAGGATCAGCGGTAATTAAAGAACTTATCAGAGATGATAAGATGATTCGATCTAGAGATGGAGGAGACATCTTACCTCCCACTGTTACTCTCATTGCCTACATTCAAAGAGAAGTTCAATCAGATAGTGTAATGAAGCGACAAAATCTTTGGAGTCCAGAAAAGAATCAAGAAAAATTACCAGTATCTCAGACCAAACCGGCACCAAGAATTACCACTCCTAGTACTCCTGTCCAAAATTCGTATGATAAACAACTTCAAGATCTTACCAAACAACTAGCGGCTCTTACCTCTGGAAAAATGGCTCCTCCTCACAAGCCCTTGGATTCAGTCTCTCAACAGGCCAACCCCCCAACTTCAGCCCCCAACAGAAACCCAAATTTCAGATGTTATTATTGCTTCCAACCCAACCACAGTTCCAACAGATGTAATTTATTTTCTTTTGATGAATCCAATGGCTTAGTCAAGAAAGAAGGCGGAAGTTATCTTTTACCTGATGATACACCAATTGCCTGGGATACTAGTAGACCTATCAAAGAAGTAGTTGATCAGTTTTCAGAAGACTCCAAGAAGACTGCTATGACAGAAATAGAATTCTCCTCCTCTTTTGGACAACTTGAAGAAATTTACGTACCATCTTTAGACTCTTATGAAGAAGACAACAAGCTAGAAACCGAAGATTTGGACAACTCCTCTGTAGCTTTTACTTTCAATCCACCCTCAGAACCAGAAATCATCTTTACTCAACAGACCAACAAACCCCCTGAAGAGATAACTGAAGAAACAGAACCTCAAGAATTTCATTCTGAAGATCAACCAGCTAGCAAGACCTCTTCTGATGAAATGTTAACCACAGATTTCACCGGTTTGGAAGAAACGATAATTCAGAGAATGATGGAGGACTTCAATGTAGCTTGGAGCTATGAAGACAAAAACTCTGATGGAGTAGTGGATTTTTCTCAGAAGGAAGAATATAACACCAGCACCTTTATAGAAGATAACAATTCAACATTTTTACCTATCAGTACAGTGGCCAGAAATTTTTTTCACATCGATGAGTCAGATATCTCAGTCTCTTCTTTTTCTGCCCAGCTGATGGGGACATCAGCCAAGTTGGAGGAGGAGTCTGTCATTTTCCAGCCTGAAAACCCCTTTGGAAACAACATATCAGCAGAAAATCCGTCTAGTTTCTATGTATCCCATTTCACCAATGATATTCTAGAGAACAACAGCAAACAAATACAAGACTATCCGGCCAGATTCAATCCATACGGCCTAGACAAAGTTGATAGACAGAACCAAGAAGATCGAGACAGAGACTTCCATCTAGAAGAGTTACAAGATCCTGGTCGGTTTTCACATGCACTACCTGCTAGTAGCGACAGCTCTAAAGAAGAGACCTACACGAAGAATCAAAGAAGAGACTTGTCCAATCAGCAACACGAAGAACAGGACTTGATCGGATTCAACAATACTTTGGAATCGCGCGAAGATGACAAATGGGATACTGCCTTAAAGGCTACATTGATGTTATTATTTTTGTTTTACCTGCTACTACTCACAACTTGGGTTGATGCTGTATGGTTGGATTCAATAAATTTCAGTTTTATTGAGCAAACCAAAGTCATTTCAAGTCGTAAAGAAGGAATGCGATTATTTTTCAAGATTCTGTTTGTCGGTCTATTAAGAGCTGGTTGTATGTTCAGTAAAACAGACAAAGGCTGTAGTGCTAGAACAAGTCGACACAGGAGATCAGGGATTATAGCTAGCACAAACGTCTACGGGTGCAACGGTCTGACTTTGTTCAAATCAATTCTATGGAACTTTAAATCGGCAATCAGGCAGATCGATCGGAAGGACATCCCACTCTTAAAGATTAGAGTCAATCTTAAGGACAGAACACCTATTACAGTGGCGCAACCCATCCTACTGTACATGGATTTTGGGGTTCCGAAATGTTTGGAGGAAAAAAATCAAGAAAATCTGCCCTGGGAAGGGCAGGATCTGTGGAAAATTTAGGTTTTGGGGCTTGGAAATTTTAGAAATTGTGCAATTTTTGCCACTTGTTTGGATAAAATTACATCCCAGAGTCAAATTATCATGTTTGGCAGCAACAAAAATGTAATCTAGTTTATAATTTATGCACATAGCTTTGACGGGAGAAGCCATACTGTGTTATCAGAGTTAAGTACATGAATATGTGACTGTAGGGGCATTTAAGCCCATGGATTCCGAAATGTTGAGCCCAAATAAAAAAAACTTTTTTGTTGGAGCAGTAGGGGCTTAGCCCTTTTATCTATGGAAGCTACTGCCCTCAAAAAGCCCAAATCTACAATAAAAATGGGTGATGGACCCCAAGTGCCTACAAACATTAGGCCGACAGGCCAATTTTTTTTTTGCTGGTGATGGTGTACAGTAACATGGGTTGCGCCACTGTAGACACAAGCAATCATTGACCGTACTTGATCAGCAATGGATTTTAAAGCTGAAAGAATTTTATGTTCCGATGTTGGGGCTTGATCATCTGTGTTTTTAATAAAGTACTAGAAAATGGACCGATACTCTCGCTGATGTCCTTAAAAGCCATCGATAACCGTCATTCATTTTCAATCTTGCGTTACACTCCTTCTAATCGGACCGATTTTCTCGCTGACGTCCTTAAAAGCCGACGATAAACTTCTGTCGTTTTCAGTATCGCATTACACTCCTTTGTTGGACCGATACCTGCGCTGAAGTCCTTAAAAGCCGCCGAAAACCTTCTCTTGTTTTAGTTTTAATTGTCGATCGTTTCCTTTGCTTTTCTCTCGATCCTTCTAGTAACCACTCTCCAACCTTAGCGGACCAATACATTTGAACAATATCTGTCTCCGCTTTGACGCTTTTGTTTCAGTTTTTGTCTGAGTTGAATTCTACTCCAAGCGATTTATTCGCTTAGGCAAACGGCTCCTTTGGTTTAAGTTTGATCTCCGCTCAGAAACCTTTCGTTGTTAACATCTCTATCTAACAATTCAACTTCGATGGCATCGCCGAATCCCTGTCATCCAAGATTTCGGATAACAGTTTCTTTCAACATGTACATTCAAAAGAAATCAGGAACAGAATCCAACAAAAGTATGACAACATGCTGGTCTAGTAAGAGATTACAGGCTGTGGAAAGAAGGGATTAGCAAGAAGATCAAAAAAAAAACTCAGAAGAAGAAGATTAAATCATGAGAATCATTGAAAGGTGAAGCCTTTGAAATGGAAAATTGAAAAGAAGAAATTACATAATTTAGTTAAAGGTAAATTTATAGAAAAATAAGAAGATTACAAATATTTTTTTTAGAAGATTAAGAACAGATTAGATTTTTTTTAGTCAGAGGGCTAAAACAGATTAAAATTATTAAGACAGAAATAGAGAAAATTTACCTGGGTACTAAATTATGAGAAATTTCATTATCAGAAACTCCACTTTCAAGAATTCAACTGAACATCAACCTCAAATTTAAAATTCAAGACCTGAAGATTTGAAAATCAAGAAAATCAATTCTCAAACAAACCTTAAGCTCAATACTGGCCAATTGGACTTATGTTAATTTCTGTTGTTTCTCCTTTACATTTCTAATTTTTCCTCTTACATGATTATTACAGAATGTACATAATATTTATTTAAGAGAGGTATTGTCTGGGGACAGACAAATAAAGTTGGGGGAGGTTGTGGTGAGACCAATCAAGGTCATATATAGTACAAAATAGCTATTTACAGTAGTTTTCATGTTATTACAACCAGATATGCATATGCTACATAACCCATTATCTTGTACCCAGTTCAGAAGGTTACAAAACAGTATTGTTTTACATAGTTTGGTTACATAATATTTAGTACTACATAGCTACAACATACTACATATCACACATCTCAAGATACAAATTAGTCTTCCCTCAGTACCTTCTTTCTATGATAATAATCTTTCAGTAAATGTTATTTATTTCATCTCAGATATCACTTATGCAGACTACATATACTGTTTCATTCCATACATCTGATTTCTCATCCAGATATTGTCATCTCATCTCACTCATCATCCATTTCTTTTCATACATCAATTACTTCATTCTACATTTATTTTATTCTACATTTATTTCATACTACAAGTATTTCATTCTTACATTCCATTTCAAAACTCAATATACATGGCTTATATCACCTACATTCTCATCATACATCTCATTTCAACTCATTACTCATTGCTTATATCACCTACATATATATTTCACCACACAGATTTCTCATCTCACCTCAGAATATTTATTTCAGTCTTTTATTATCTCATTTCTTTTTGCACTACATATTATTTTTATCATAAACAGAAGTTACTTCATATTTTCTCCTTTTCAACATGTTTATTTCACACTACGCATTTGTCAGCCACATTTATTTCATAACCAATTGTCTTTCAGATACAACTTATTTCATACCATCTTCTTACATCAGCTGATATCTTACCACTAGTATCTGATCAGAACCACCCACATGTATATAGAGAATACCCTTTCCCACTTACTTTGTTCCCCATGCTTGCATTAGAGAAGTAAACAGATAATTACTTAGCAGACATCACTTACTAGTAGTTACCAGAAGTAATTATTATTGATTTTCCCCCAGAAGATAAGAAATTGAACCCAGAAACCATTATCCCCCAGTGTCATCCTTACCAAAATTACCCACATCCTCACACTCCTCAACAGGTGCTTTGTACAAGACATCAGTAATAAACCTCATACTAAGATTACCCACAGAAAATAGCC